GAAAAGGCCGTAACTGGTGTTATAGGTAGCCAAATTAGATAGAAATATTAATAGGCAGTCAGACAGGGCAAGGCCTTGAAGGAGACAGCACAAAGACAAGTTATCCTGCAACTGTGGGAGGGGCGGGTGCTGCTGCTGTGAGCCAGAACTAAAAGACCATACAAATGCTAAAAGAGTACCACCTGGGATTGATACTCTAAATAGGTATCAATCACCTAAAAAGACCTCAGTGAGTCACCAGCCCAGCCCTCATTTGGTCCTGGGCGTAATCAACTTTACCTGAGCAATGCTGCTTGCAATCCCATTGGTTGACCATAGTTTCGGCCCACCCTACCTAAGGAGACCTCTTCCTCTAATGCGTGACACGGCCCGCCTCCCGCCCAAAGCGGTTGCCTTGGGCGGCCAGGGATGGTGCAGCTGCCTCTGATCAATATTTCCTTCAATAGGGAACCATGGGCAAACTTGTTTATTTATTTTTTTCAAACTTGTTTAATATATTCAAAATATTGACATAAAGCCTTAATTTTAACCTTTACTCCTCGCGCCTTTAATGCTTTACTCAAACTTTCTACAGATATCTCATTCACTTAATGCCTGTCCATTGTCCAAGGGAAAGGGGAAAAGGGTGCCATCCGCTTAGCGAGGTTCAGAAGTCGCAGCAGGCAACTGCGGCGCGGGCCTCTTTTATTCTCTCTTTTGCCTCTTTTACTCTCTTGCCGGCTCTTTTACTGGCTTTCTCTTGCGCGTGCTCTCTCCGACGGTTCCGTCGCTGGATCCTCCATACCAGATGCCCCACTCGCTGGGCGCCACTTGTCCCAAACCAGAGGGTCAGTTAATGAAGGTCACCTGGGGGAGAAGCGGGGAATGGAGAAGGGGACAAAGGACAGGAGACGTGAGAAATGAGGACAAGACAGGATTGTGATCAAGTCTCATTTATTCACAGGAGGTGCTGGGTATATATAGTGGAGGCATAGGGAAATGACGTCAGCGGGTAAAAGGCACCAGAAACTAGGCAACCGGGCTGTGACAGGAAGTCCTACCTCCGGGGCATAGCAGGAGACTTATGGGAAATAGGCCGGGTGAGAAGGACCATAAACTTAACTCAGCAGGGGACTAGAATGGATACCAGTAATGGCCTCCAACACCAAACAGGATGTGGTTTCCAGCTTTAAACCCTTTGTACTTCCAAGGGTCCTCGCCGTTTATCGTCTCCTGCGTGAGTACAGTCAAGCGGTCCGGGGGGCGGTAATAAAGGCTCATCAATTTTAATATTGGATTCTGGTCTGGTTTCTATGTTGAGAACCCATAACACACACTACAAGGAACGTTCCTACAGGAAGGAGAGACTTCCAAAGTTGTTTCTATGCATTAACTATAATCCACGGAGAATCCGTTTCACAGATACTGAGTATGCGCCTGTTATGCGGGCAGGGAACAGTAAGTGAAACGAGGTTGCTGGGTCCCCTTTTCCCTTCACTGAAGCAAGACATGGCAGAAGGCAGAGAAGGGCATCTTCTCACCAGCGCCAGCATCTTTAGCTCCAACAGTGTAAACCATAAACCAGTTACGTTGGACAATCTGTCTCAAAGGATAACACTAACCTGACAAGGAAATAGAGGAACAAAGTGCCAAGAAGAAAGGAGCAAATCCAGACACGGGTTTACAGGAAGCCTGCAGTCTTTTCGACAAGGTAATAAAATGGGAAGGGTAAGCTTTTGCTGGATAAAAAGGGATTTTTTTGGGGGGTGTTTCCCCCCACCCCCCAACCAGGGATTGAACTCAGGCCCTTGTGCTTGCCAGGGAAGCGCTTATTGTACTGAGCCATCTCCCAGGTCTTAAAAGGGATTTTAAATGTAAATGCAACAACAAGTCTATTAATGGATGCTAGTTTGTAAATAATCAACTGTACAGGACGTGCGAGTAACCGCAGGGAAAAGGGCTCCGAAGCTGAACTAGCTAAAGCACACTAGCAATGGTCCTTGTCTTGGCTTTGTAGAGATGCATTATGGCTAGCAACTAGGGGTGAAGTTATGACACGTTTACAATATTTAAGGAAAAAACATACGCAACCAATAGTTGAAGATGTAAACGTTTGTTAAAGGTGATTTAGGACTGGAGCGCACTTCAGCGACAGAAGGTGTGCTCAGCATACGCGAGGTCCCGAGTTCAGTTCCCGGGCCAAGAAGTAAAAAATGCAAGTGACCGCTGTGCAGGAGCAGCGTGGCCTCTGGCCAGCCGAGGCGTTCGCGGGGGCTCTCTCCGGTCTCCACCTCGCTACCGCAGGCTCCGTCCTCCGGGACGGACAGACGTGCAGAGACCCCGGCCCCGCGGGCGCCCGCTGCGCCCCTTCCCTCCGGAGCTTCCTCTCCAGGAATCGCGGAGGTCCCGCGAACCCGGACGGTGAGTGGAGAAGGAAGCCTGTCGCCGCTGCGGTTTGGGTCGCAGAGGGCCCCCAGCGCCGCGTTAGGGGCTCCCTCCCCAGGGGCACCGCGCAGAGCGCAGCGTGGGAGCAAAGTGCGGAGGAGCGACCTCTGAGCGGCCGCAGCGGGCCCGCCGGCCTCGTCCTCCTGCTGCCCGGCCGGGCCTGGACCCGCGCCCTGGACTGCAGCCCGCAGCGGGCCGCCGGGGCTTCGCT